GGGGCTGATTTTCCCAGCAGCGGTTTAAATGCGAGAGGCGGGGAGACCGCTCCGAACTGAGGGATGGGGTTTTCCTGAACGACCAGCCAGGACTTGGAAGGATCCAGGGGGGAAATCTTGAGTGTCCGAGGCCCCGATCGCCAGCATGCGCCTTGTAGGTTGGTTCTTGCGCTCTGTTGCAGTCGAACGGCCTCCCTCGTTTAAACCGATCAGAAATGCAAGGAGGGATCACTTTTGAGTGCAAGGCTCGCGCGGCGCGTGCATCCCCTGTGGCCCCGCTGCTCTTTCAGTGAGCGAGACTGTTCCCAGCACTCTGCTCGCAAGCTCTTGTGCAGCCAGAGGAGGTTCGGCCCGCGCTGAAGTCACTGCTGTTGACGCAAAATCAGATGCTGTGGTAAACTTAGCGCCAGTTAACTCCCCCACCCCCCGCCTCTGCTTTTACAGATCTTACCCCCGGGAGGAACGCAGCCAGGATTTCTTAAGAAAAATTCTAGCTTGGGGAGTGGTTCACAGGGAACTGAATGCTTTTCTGGGATGTTTGAGACCGCAGCATTGTATTGCCAAAAACGTGAAAGTGCCGTCCTTGTTCAGGTGGGGGCCGCTGGTGAAGGGAGCAGGAAGTGGTGAGGGGCTGCGTGAGGTTCTGGTAACGCTGCTCACACTTGGATACATGCACGTCTTGAAGCTGAGAGACTCTTAACTTTGGATTGGTTTATAAGAGATAAGAAATGGTAACGCGCTTTGGCCAGATGCAACTTAGCACAACTCTTCTGTCCGCCCTCCTAAAATGGGGAGGTGTAAAGAGCCCCTTCCCCTGGCTTTGCAGCAGAGAGCCCTTGTTCCTTATGAGCCTCGTAAGATGAAGGGGAGACCTCCCAAACAGGGAGGCTCGCTCAGCTGTGCTGGTGGAGCTGTACCGGCACAGCTGAGCAAGCCTCTCTTCTGAGTGCCTCTCTCCTGTTTGAGCTCTTGGCTAGAGGGATGTGGCCAGCGAAGGTGACGAAAATGGGATCTATAGCAGGAGCTTGGCAAAGCGTTTGTGGGGTGAGCTGCAGGCTATCCCTGGCATGGGGTTGTGGGAGAAACCCGGTGCTTACTTCTGGACCTTGTGATTGTGTTGCGCTGAGCCTTGATTCTTGTTATTTTTAACATCTTTGGTTTCAGCGGCAGCTGTCCTGATGCAGCCTGCGGCAGGGCTGTCAACACGGCAGATGTCCCCTTCTCCACTGCAGCTCCCCACCAAGCAGCCTTAGAATGACTCTGCCCAGGGTCCCTGATCCGGGCATGTGCAGAGATTTGTGGGCAGCGATGGTGAAAATGTGCGCCATAAGTGTTTGAGCTGCCTGGAAGTGTTAGGAGGAGGAGCGGTGGAGGTAGGCATGGCTGGGTGCAGTGTGGTGGTAAGACTGCCTTTCCTTTGGAGCAGCCCAGTGGCTCCGGGATTGCCAGCTGGCAGTGAGGGTTGAGGTAGAGAGGAGAGACTGGGCAAGGGCTTCAGATCCACTGGATCCTCCCTGACCGTGCAGGAGGGATGCTGGCACATATGTGCACGCATGCCCCACAGCCACAGGCAAGTGTCACCCCCTGTCCTGCAGAGGGGGAAAGTGAGACAGCAGCTGGTCCAGGATGCCAGGGGGAGTGACAGGTGCCCACCCATATTCGGCTCATCCCTTCTCTCTGGGTGGCTTTGTTCAGATGAATAGGGCACTTTGCAGCTTTGTCCCAGGCTGCCTGCAGGCAGGGTCCAGCCTCCCCTCCCTTTTCTTTGTACCCAAGGGCTAAGAGCAGGAGGCAGGGCTGAGAGGCTGATCTCCCCACCTCCCCTCCAACAGCCCTGCCTGTTACCTGTGATAGGGAAGAGCCCTGCAAGGGACCTCTGACTCAGTAGTTTTAGTCTCAAGCCAGCTGATGCTTGATGAATGTTTCAAGGCCCAAGCAGCAGAAGTCTGTGTGCAGCACAGACCGACCTCTTGAGAAACCCTCTTGGCACCGATAGCCAGCAGCCTGAGAGGGAAATACCGGGGCCACGTCTCTGGGACTCCCTTGCGCCTGCTCCTAGAACACTGACATGACACATCCTTCCACCAAACATGCTACGGCTCATGACGTTAATTGGACTGGATAGGTTATTTCCCGTTCAGTGCGTTGCCCTAAAAACACTCTGCCTTGGATACAATATGATAGTTACTTCCTCAATCGTCCCTTCCCACAGCTGAGGCAAGAGGCCATGTTCCAGTAGTGGAAAAATGCTGCCAACAAGCCGGGGTAACAGGGCAGGCCACTGGCCTTGCTGCAGGATTTTTCCCTTGGAAGGGCTCTGCTGCAAGCAGGCTCTGCTGCAAGCACTTGGGCTGTGAGGCCTGAATGTCTAAGTGCAGGGTTGTCGTCCTGCTCTTCGTGCTACCTGTTTACATTTGGCCATCTCCACTCAGCCTCCTCCTGGGGCTGAGGGCAGTCACTGGTATTGGATGGCAAAGCTTCATAGCAAACCTCAACAGCACTCAGGGCCAGATCAGATTGTCCGGGCAGACCGACTGATGGCCCATTGGCCCGAGTGCTGTCAGCTTTTGATCCAGGCTTGGCATTTTGTGTTTCTCCCTTTCAACCCCCAGTGCCTGCAGTCGTACGAGAATCTCGGTTGTTTTAACTAGACAAGATGGTGAGAGAGAACCCAGAGCTCTGACCTCTCCCGGCACAAAGACCGGAGAAGCCAGCTGTGGGTACCTGACCTCTGGCAGTGCAGTGTTTGGGGCAGGCAGTACTGGGCTGTACTAGAAGCTCCAGACTGGATATCTTGGTTGGATTTAGCGGGGGTGCTCAGAGGGGTACTCAGCACCATGGTGCAGTGCTACGTGCGTGTCACAGCTATGGGGCCAGCTGCACCCTTCACCCCTTCCTGACTTCCTGCCTGAGCTACTACGCCTGGTGGCACTGCCCTGAGATAGGGAGAGGTACAGTTCTAGACTGGGTGGGGGTGGGTTTTAAAGCACGCGGTTCATAGGCATGGTCTATTCTCCAGAGTCTGGCTTTCTGTGTGGACTGTGCTGCAGTGTCCGCTCACAGCTTCTCTGCCCACGTCGCCACAGCAGCAGGGCTTCCTGCCACCGTCCAGCAGAGAGCAGGCATTGATGGGCTGCTGGTTCTGTGCCGCCCTGGAGTGTTGTGGCTGGGAGCCTCTGGCTGCCGGCAGAACCAGGTAAGGGTAGACAAGGGCCCCGAGGAGGTCCCGTGTCGTGGCCCTGGTCTTGGTTGTAGCATTCTGTGGGCAGAGCAGGGATGGCTGGGGCATGGGAAGATCCCAGGCGGTCACTGACGTGGCCGAGCCCTGGTCTGGCCACATTGCTTTGGGAACCGGCATAGCCCTGGCAATAGAGGAGTTCCTCCTGCTGCTGACCCCTGTCTACACGCAGGCCAGATTGCCACAGCACAACCACTGGGGTAGCCATAGCAGCATGTCCCATTAGGCAAAGCTGTGGTGGGGCTCCCTCTGCCTCTCCCCTCTCTTGTCTCACCAGCACGGGAGGCTCCACAGGGGCTGGTATGGACTGTCAGGGGTTTTGCCTTCCTGTATAGCAGGGAGTGTGGCCTTCTACCTGGCATCTCTTGAGTGTATGTTAACCTTTTACAGCAGCGGGATGTCGGCTGTCGTTGTCTTCCTGCTTTACCTGTGGCATGTTCGAGCATTGTGTTTTGTCAGGGTTGACGGTAGTTTTACTAAGAGGTTACATGATGGATGTGTCTGGGATGGCTTGGATAGGGCCGATCTTGCCTCAGGCAGGGGGTTGGACTGGACGTGACCCTTGAAGCTCCCTTCCAGCTGCACTTCTCTCTGCCTCTATGGTGAGCCACCATCCTTGGAGCCTGTAGCGCTGGCATTGGCACTGCAGAGTGCTGAAGGGACAGTCGCTGATGGAGATGGATCCAGCCTGTTTTCCCCCTCCCGCCCAGGTTCTGCACAGCCCCACCATTTCTTCCCAGTGCCGCCTTCCAGGAACATCAGGGTTACCAGGCTGGCCAAAGGTGGCCAGGGCAGCACTTCATCTGTCCCAATGTGTCTTATTCCTCCATTTGGGGCAATGCTCCTATCCAGCAGAGCGTCCTCCCTGCCTGCTAACCAGCGTCAGTCTGGCGTGCCAAGCCCTGGGGACCTGCTGCTGAGGGGCACAGCTTTGTACCAGTTTTCTGGTAGTGTTGGCATTGGTGCTTGGTGCTAATGGCAAGGGCTTGTCTGTGCCCAGGTGAGCTGACTAGTAGGGACCCCTGGATGCAGAGCACCTTCCTCTTTGCTTTCAGTGGGAGCCGCACACTCTCGCTTTGGATTCGGTGTGCCCAGACCTGGGGATCCTAAGGAGCAGCTGCAGTTGTAGACCGGCCCTGCAAGGCCGAGGGGACTGTGCTCTTGGAGGAGGGGCTGGTGTCATGTGGGGAAGTGGGGTCCAGCAGGGCTACGTGACTCAAGGTTAGGCAGGTGTTTGTGGCAGGGTCTGGCACTACCCCCGAGAGCGTGACACCCCCCCCCCCCCCCCCCCCCCGACAGGACTTCAGCTGGGGGGACTCCTGGCCTGTGCTGCTGGTCTCTATCACGGGGATCTCTGACGTAGGGGCGGGCGGTGAATGGTTCTCTAAGACTGTGCCCCTCTCACCTGTGGTACAGGCTTTCTCTGGTCAAGTGCATGGTGCAGTGGGGGAGCTCTGCCTGCTGCTGCTACCCCCTAGGGCTCCAGCCTGGCTTTGCCAGGTACTGTCTGTCCTATGGGTTTCCTGGCTCCCAGGATCAGGCCTGACTTTGCAAGCAATTGTGGGGACCAGGCAGTCTTTACAGCAGGCCGCCTGGCTCTGGCTGCTTGGTGGGCAGGTCAGGTCATGCACAGCTTTGGCCCAGGGTGCTGCTACTGGGGTCATGTGTGGTGTGTGATCCCTGTGTCACAGTAGGGGAGGGAGGCATTGAAACGGGGGCCAGGGGAGAGCAGAGCAGTAAGCAGAGCTACTGAGGGGCTGGCAGGGGTGTGGGATGGGGAGGAAGAGTGGAGGGGGCATCACATGAGGATGCTACAGGCTGCGATTGATTCCCAGGGGTTGGGCTAAGACTGGCCATGCCCACTCTCCACATGCCCACTAGCAGGAGCAGCTAGTGCTGGGCCAAGAGACTCATGGTCACTAGGGAGGCGGGTACTGCTTGGCTCGTGGCACATGGTGGCGGCAGGCAGACTGGTCTGAGTGCGGGTGGCAGGCTGCAGCAGAGGCACCTGGGAGCGTGCCCTTACCCATCATTCTCTCAGGGCTGCCCTTCCTGGTGTGTCCTGGTCCCTGGAGGCCCCATCTGAACTGTCACAGGTAGGAGTTGCGTGGCGCTGGGTACTTGAAGCTCCTGCTAAAGTGGCTGGGGGCTGAGGGCATTTAGTGCTGCAGATGGGAGCAGCCAGCCCCCAAGATATCAGCCTCAGCCTTCAGGGCCTCCACCTGCACCTCTGTTTAGTGCAGGCTCATCCATCCGGCTGCTTGCATGTCCGTGGAGATTGCACTGCCAGCGCCTTTGTGTCGATGGGCCCCTCACGGTGGAGGTATGCCATGCGAGGGGCAGAGATTCGGCTGATCCACAGCCAGCATGTGCCAAACCCCGCTAGGGCTTTCCTCCAGCTTCATGGTTCCTGAGAGTTGTGGCCCCCATGTTTTCTTGGAGCCAAGAGCTGAGGGGGACAGAAGGAGGAGAAGCAGCTGGGACTGATGGGATCGGATGGGTGCCAGCAACAGGAGTTGTGCTGCCAGGTCTGGGCCCCACATCCCCCTGCCCTGAGGAGCGGCTTAACGGAGGGTTGGCATGAAGAGATCTGGACACAGCGTGGGGTTTCTCGATGGAAGTTGGTCGGGAGTGGTGAGGCAGGGGGCACAAGAACATGTGGGAAAGGTATTAAGGCAGGGCCATGGGTGTGATGAGCAGGGAATGGCTGCAGCAGGAAGCCCTTGGAGGAGACAGGGAGACAAGGCTGGAAGCCTGCAGCGGTGCAGGACAGGGCTTACGCCGCTTGGAATTGAGCTTGGTGGGAGACGAGCACAGCTCTGGTTGAACGGGTAACATCTGGCCGGCTGATAGCGCTCTTCCGCTCTGTTTGTCACTCATGAGGCCCCACCAGTGCACCCTGGCCCCACGCTTCAAGAAGGTTGTGGGCAGATTGGAAAGAGTCCAGCAGAGAGCAATGGCAGTGACTGGAGGCCTAGGAAGCAGGATTTACGAGCAAAGGCTGAAAAACCTCAGGTTGTTTAGGCTGGAGGAGAGAAGACCGAGCGGATTTGATAAGTCTTCAAATACCCAAAAGGTGATGACAGGGCGTATGGAGCCAGGCTTTTCTCCCTGGCTGCAGGTGACAGGACTAGGAGCAATAGCCTCAAGCTGCAGCAGGGGAAATTTGAGTTGGAGATGAGGAACTTTCCGACTATAACATTGGTGAAGTGTTGGAACAGGCTCCCAGAGAGAGCTCTTCATCCCGGGAAACATTCAGAAGCAGGTTGGACAGACATTTGGAAGGGATGTTTTCATCGGAGATGATCCTGCCTGAAGCAGGGGACCAGACTAGATGTGACCTCTGAGGTCCCTTCCAGCTCCACTTCCCTGTGATCTCGGTGGTAGTGGGGTTGTCCTGCTCAGATCAGGGTATACCTGGAGGATGTTGCGGGGATTGTCTCTTAGCCCCAGGCTGTTTTAATATTTCTGCTGATGATGGAGAAGAAAACTCTTAAGAGCCCCTGGATGGTGCCCGCCTTGGTGAGCAGGGAGTGGCGGGGGCAGGTGCTTACACAGGCAGCCCTGGTCAGGGAGCCACCCAATGTCTTCTGATAGGGTCGATGGGCAAGTCTCTGATGGCATGATGTGGCCTTATACAAATCATAGGCAGACTATGGTGCCAGAAGGCTGCTGCGCTCCTCTATCCCTGAGCAGAGGTGGCATCGCTGTCCTGTTGTACCCAGAGCAGGAGAGCACAGTGGGCTGTGGTGCTCATGCCGTTGCGGGAGCTTGAATGGGGCTTGGGGAAGAGGGTGAGCGGGAGACCTGTTCTAAAGGACCGACAGCCTGCTCCAGCACTGTGGGCATCTGGTGAAGCAGGAGTGTACCTAGGAGGGGAAGGCAGCAGGGGGTGTGCCAGCGGGGCGCTAGGGCAGACCGAACCTTGGGGGGAGAGGGTCACTCTGTTGGCTGCCGGCAAGTGGCCTCTGCTGAGACGCTGGGTTTCTCATTCCAGGGCTTGGAAACCGAGGCTTTGAAGTGAGACGCACGGGGGAAATCCACGACCTGCTCTTCTGATGCATAACAGAGCAAGGAGATGAAGGGGTGAGTGCTGCACACAGCCAGTGTGGGGCCTTGAAGGTGGTCATAGGCCAAAGGTGGTATAGAATAAGCAGGACCTGCATGGGGAGTAGCCTGGCTCAGCGCTCACTTGTGCTGCTGCTTCTCTCTGGGGCAAAGACTTTTGGGCTGATGAAGCTTGAATCTTTTGACAGCCCCGTGTGAATGATAGCATTCCCCCTGCCAGACGTGGATGTAGACCAGGAAGGGTGGGCACGGACCTTGGCCTTGGTCAGGGAGATTCTCTACCCTGCCTGATGACAGCCCTAGCTCTGTGTGCAGCTTCGCTAACCTGAGAAGCGAGGGCTGGCTGGAGTGATGGGCAGCGCCGTGTACACCCTGGTGCACTCCCTGTACTCACTGGTGGCTCATTCCCTTGCAGACAGCAGAAAGCAGCTGAGACTGAAGAGGGCACTGTGCAGATCCAGGAAGGTGAGAGGGGATCTCCATTCCAGCACTAGCAGCCTTCCTCTCAGGCTCTGTTGGCTTCTAGCGAGATCCCTGGGGATCCCTGGGGGTGGGGCTTCTAGCGAGATCCCTGGGGAGATGCCCTGTCTAGAGGGCTTCCTATCTTGGAGGCCTGGCTGAGAATCGGGGAAGCTGAGCTCACTGTGGGTTGCTGTGCCAAGTGCAGCCCAGGCTGGCAGTGCTGGGGTGACGTTGCCATCAGGCTGTGCTGCAGATGCTGGTCTCAGACTGGGAGCAGAGGCAACATCTCTGGTCCTGGTGGTTTTCCTGGTGCTGCGGGCCCTGATCATTGGTCTGTCCTGCTTCATGTCCTATCTCTGATGGCATCAGCAACAGCTGTCAGAGGTGTCAGGACCCCTGCTGCAGCCAAGAGGGGAATTAGCACTTGCCACCTGCTGTTTAGGGGGCCATCGCCCTTTCAGAGCCCCTGTTAGCCCGAGCTGTGATTAGGCTGTCATGTGAACCCCTCAGACAGGCTGGTAATTGCCCAGCCTCCAGTGATAGTCCTCCAGCAGGCCCCTTCCTCCTCCAGGCGGCTGGAGCTGGGTGAGGGGCGGTGTTGGCCCTGCACCTGGGAGCATGCGTGTTTGTGCTGGGGGAGGGTTTCCCCAGTTACGTGCATCCCCATTCTCTTTCCTGAAGGTGCAGTGGCCACAGGCGAGGATCCCACCAGTGTGGCCATTGCCAGCATCCAGTCTGCAGCCACCTTCCCCGACCCCAACATCAAGTACGTCTTCCGCACCGAGAATGGTGGGACTCAGGTATGACTGCCCTGCCTTGCCCTGTGGCAGCTCCAGCTCTGCCTCCACCTCCCAAGCAGCTCCTCTCCACTGCCCTGAAGGGTGTCCTTCAGGTCTGGAGGGCAGGACTGGATGGGGGGAGGGGTCTGTACTGGAGGGGTGTCTGTCAGCCTCTGTCTTGGATCCCCAGAAGCCTGGCTACAGCCCTTGTTCAGACAGGCAGGCACTGGCTAGTGCCTGATAGGGCTTCCGGTTAGACCAGGGGCAGCTGGGCTAGCTGGATGGTGTCAGGGCCCTGCCCTGCTTGGGGTGTGGCCAGCTCACGGTGCTGGAGGACTGGTTGGGTTGGCCTGATGGCAGGAGTGAGGCCAGGAGCTTTCCCAGGGAGCGGGTGGGCAGAGCTTGGGCAAGGGCAGGAAGGAGAGGGGTGGAGGACTTCAGAGGAAATTTAGGGGCAATTTCCCGTGTGCAGGAGGCGTGGGCCACCCTTCCTCTCCCTGTGCCCACTGTGCAGTTCATGCATATCCTGGGAGTCAGCTTTTCTCGGCTTCTCCCGCAGGTGATGTACAGGGTGATACAGGTGGCCGAGGGGCAGCTGGATGGGCAGACCGAAGGCACCGGTGCCATCAGTGGCTACCCAGCAACACAGTCAATGACACAGGTAGGGACCCCAATAAGCAGGGGTGGTACAATGGTGCTCTGACTTGGGGGTGGAGATGCCAATGAGCTGAGACTGGCACTAAGCTCACCTGGATGCTCACATCACATGGGCAGGGAAGATCCTGCTCTGTGACTCCCGGGCATCTCCAAGCCAGTTCTGTGTAGAGCTCTGTGCTGCTGCCCTGTCCCCTTCTGCCAGTCCTGTCTGACTCAGCCTGGATTGCAGCTGGCATCCTTCCCATCTGAGCCATCATGAGCCCTGCCCCAAGGCTCAGTCTGGTAGCTTGTGGCATCAGATGGGCAGTGGAGCTCATGCTGTCCCTGGTCAGGGCTGAGATGTGGGCAGCCCAGGAGGCTGTGCTGACCCTGCTTTGGCTAGGCTTCCTCTGTGCCTCTGCACTCTGGAGCTGGTGAGCGCGTGGGGCTTGGGGGGGAGTGCTGTCCACTAGGTGAGTAACGCTGAAGCTGCCCAGCTCCTTCTGTGTGTTCCAGGCTGTTATTCAGGGCGCATTTACCAGCGAGGATGCCGTCGAGACTGAAGCCACAGGCACAGAGACCCACTACACGTACTTCCCCACCACGGCTGTGGCTGACACCAGCACTTCTGCCGGTGCGGGGATGACAGCCACAGCCGTGGTGACCACCCAGAACTCAGAGGCCCTCCTGGGGCAGGCCACACCCACTGGTACAGGTTGGACGGCTCGGGGCCTGGCACACCCAAATGCACCCTGCCACAGTTGGCACGGGGCACGGTCGGGGAGGCATGGGGCGGGTCTGTCCCTGGCAACTGCGCGGCCACTCCAACTGGGGCTCCGCTGTTAAGTCACGGCAGCTGGCATGGCTGCCTCTGCCTCACATCCCAGGCTTGATTGTAAATGTGGCCTCGTCTGATGTGTAACCGCAGTATGTGGGGCCTGCAACACACAGAGAAGCAGACTGCTTTTGGCCTTCGGGTGGCACATCTGGGCCGGTCGCTCAGTGCCTGCCCGTCCCCTGCTCCCCACGGTGGCCCTGGCAATGCAGCACTTTAAACCCAGAAAAGCCAACTGACGCCTTTCGCCCTAGCCTGGGATCCCAGCCCTTGCAGATGGGCAGCCTGATCCTTAGGGGTATGCTGAGCTGGTGGCTCCTGCTGGGAGCCCCAGAAGCTTGCGGGCCCCAGGAAATTGGGCTTAAATTAGTAGTGACCCCCTGGCCAGAGGTTCAAGCCCCATTTTTGGCTGCACCTGGAGAAGCTGCTGCTGGTGTGTCCCCTGCTGCAGTTGCTTCTTCCCCCCACCCGTGGTGGAGATGGCTTCCCAAATGACCTCCCCCTCTCTTGTTCGACTGCAGGGCAGTTCTTTGTAATGATGTCGCCACAGGAGGTTCTACAGAGCGGGGCTCAGAGGTCCATCGCGCCCAGGACCCACCCGTATTCCCCGTGAGTATCCGCCTGCACCAGGCTGCAGCATCACTCCCTCTCTTCCCCCTCGTTTGTATCTGTGGGGTTGGGGGTGGTTTGAGCTCACAGCTCTGGGGGGGCCGTGTATGGGACTGGGAGTTAGAAACACATGATCCTGCACTGTCGGGTGCTGCCTCTGTTATTGTGCTGCCCTTTGCCTTAGTTTCCTCCCTATAAAGAGGGCTTGTGCTACTGTCTTGACTGCAGCGCTTGGCAGCCTCCGTATCATGCCTCCTTGCATCTGTTTTCCTTGCAGGAAGTCAGAGACACCCCGGACGACCCGGGATGAGAAGCGCCGAGCACAACACAATGAAGGTACAGGTGGAGTAGAGACAGACGGAGGAGGGGGAGGGAAGGGCTACCTGGATGCCTCTGAGAGAAACCTGCTTCTGCGAGGCTTCCCTTGGTTGGCTCTAGCCGTGCCCTCCAAGACATGCTCCCTTGGCCAGAGCCTGTGTTGGTCGGTCGGTGAAGGCAGAATGTCTTTAGGGGGTAGCCATGCTTGGGCATCCTCAGGTGAGGAGAAGGAACTCCAAAAGATTTAGCTCGCAATGTGGAAAGCCTGGAACTACATAGCTTGGCCCCAGTGTGAGCCTTGGCTTTGTCTGGAGCGAGCCGGCCTCCAGCTTCCTCCCCACCTCTTCCTCAGACATGAGCTGGGCACCCATTACCCAGTGACATGGGGCTTCCAGCCCCCTGTGAGATGCTGCTTAGAGGTGAAGGGTGGGGAGATGTTCCCATTGCAGCCACGAGTGTTTTGCATGTGATGGCTTCTGGATCCACCCACTCGTGGCTGCTTTGCACTCGGGGTGAAGTCTCAGCCAGGCATGTTGTGGGCTGCGGTGTTGGGGCCAGTGGTGAGCTCTGGTGGAGTTATGGCAGCCAGAGCCCTTTGCCAAAGCTGGGACCTCCCAGAAAAGCTGTGTCCTGCTCTGTAGGGGCCTTTTCCCATTTCAAAGCAATGATTTTGTTCAGAAGCTGCCTGCTTCTGTGAGGAAGGCATAGAGGCCCTGCTGCACGAGTCATCCTGTCCAGGCAGGAGCGTGGGATCCCTTTCGGGGTAGGAGAGCTGACATCTGCGTATGCTGGATCAGCCCTGGCGTGTTTTCTTCTCCTTCCCCGCCCTCAGCTTGTCCTGTTTGGCCCCGGCAGCAAGCCAGGAAATCCGTCAGCTCCCAGCTTTCGGCACGTGGGCTTGGAGGAGCCTGCTGTGCATGAGAACCCACACCAGGTGTTCAGAGCCCTGCAGCCATGCCCGCTTCCTTGCCCAGGGAGTACCTCCCTGCCCTGGAGACTTCTGTGCGTCCATGCACATGTCCCAACAGAACGGGTGGCACGTGCCCTAACGAGGGGCAGGGTGATGACCTTCCTGGTGCTTCTGGTTTAACTGGGGTCTTGTGCAGCTTGTGCTGTGCTTGGCAGAAGGTTGGGTAAGGGCCTGAGTTTGCACAACAGCCCTGCAAGTGGGGGCCAGGAGCAGGGACAGCTGGGGCAAGGTGACCTTGGGCAAGGTGGTGGGCTGGAGCTGGTTTGGGCATCCCTGGCTTTCCAGTGGCCAGTGTCACATCCTGACTCCGCTCCCTGGCTCAGCATCTGGCCCCTGTGGCAGGGGGAACTGGGCCGGGGACTTGGTTTTCTGGGACCCTCTTGGCACAGGGGGGGTTAATCACTGTGGCCCCTGTTACTGCTCAGAACTATGGGGCTCTTCTGCCTAACGAGCCGAACTAGGGCTGTGACGGCAGTCGCTCAGCCCCCACCAGCTCTTGCTGTGCCCCTCCTGGAGTGTCTGCTCAGCTCCTACCCTGTCTCTGTTTCAGCCCTGTGCCATAGCACTGCCAGCAGGGCTGGCAGTATGATGCTTGTGCACAGGGCTCGGAGGTGGGATGGGCAGCAGCAGCTCTCTCGGGTCCTTGGAGTGAGGGTGGGGGTTGCTGGCTGCTCGCGGAGCTGCTGACTGCTGTCCTCGCTCTCCCCACAGTGGAGCGCCGGCGCAGGGACAAGATCAACAACTGGATAGTGCAGCTGTCCAAGATCATCCCCGACTGCTCCATGGAGAACACCAAGTCGGGACAGGTAGGACAGGGCTGCCTGCTCGCGCCAGGGCTGGACGCGGCCCCTCCTGCCGGACCCCGATGCTTCCTGGAGCTTCCCCAGCCTGAGAAGGGGGCTGGGGCAGGCTCGCAGGGGGCCCTGGAGGTCAGTGCCCAGGCCTGGCTGGCAGGCACCGCTTGCCGGGGGGTTGGGTGAGCTCTATGTTGCCCGCACGGCCAAGTGGCGGGCGGGACTGTTCAGTGCCCATCCCCTCCCAGCCCCCCGTATCTCTCTCTTCCCAGAGCAAGGGTGGGATCCTGTCCAAAGCCTGCGACTACATCCAGGAGCTGCGACAGAGCAACCACCGCCTCTCTGAGGAACTGCAGGGCCTTGACCAGCTCCAGATGGACAATGAGGTCTTGCGGCAGCAGGTGAGCGGGCACCAGCCCCAGTCTGACATGGGAGTGGGGTGGGTGCATTGCCATCTGTCTGGTGTCATTCGATGTGGGTGGGGTGTCCTGTGGCAGCTGTAGCATAGGCCAAGACCTGAGCTGAGCTGCTGTCTGTGGGAGGCTCAACCTGGTATGACCCAGTCCCTGCTGATGCCAGCTGTGCCCTCCCCTCTCCCTGCCCAGGTGGAAGATCTCAAGAACAAGAACCTCATCCTGCGTGCGCAGCTGCGCCAGCACGGGGTGGAGATCATCATCAAGAACGACGCCCACTGACTGGCACGGGGGCGGGGGTGAGGGCCAGGGCGGCACTGGCTCGGGAACCTGGGGGCTGTTGGCGCTGGGCCCATGGCCCTCCTGTCCTGCCCATGTGCCCACCCGCCCGAGGCAGCTCCCTCCTGCTGACGCTTCTGAATCGCAGCCCCTTGCTCTTGTACAGCCCCGAGCGAGGTTGGCTCAGGGTCTGGAGGTTGACCCAGTCCCCAGTGCCACCTCCCCCAGTGCTCCCTGCCAGCCCGGGCTTGAGTCCACTTGCTCTCCGGAGCTGCCCGAATAAAGAAGCTGGCGTTGCTCCCAGAAGTGTTCTGATTTGTGTAAGACAAGGAGCCCTCCCACCCCTCTTCCCTTCCTATCTGGCTCCATTGCCCGTGTGCCTACGCGTGGCACTCACTTGTGCAGACGTTGGCTCACAGGGGCGCAGCTGCCCCTTGGGCTGTGCACACTCACGGGTGCCTGTGCACCGCAGTATTACACGTTCAGCACCTTGCACGCGCTTGTGCACGTGGTCTCAGCCTGGCACTGTAGCTCTCCCCCTGCACACACATGCCCACTTCCCCCTGCCCTCCCCAGCACCTGCTGTCATGGCCCGAGCTCATGGTCACGTATGCAGCCTGATGCTGCCCTTCAGGCTCGTTATCACCCTGGGATGGCTGGATCCTCTGGGCCAAGCTCGTTCCTCCTGCCACTCCCCACCTAGGGAGCTAGCCAGCTGCTTGGGCATGGCAGCTGGTCTCCTTCACCCCCCATCTCTCACCATCACCCGTGGCCTGTGTGCCTGCTGCCCTGCCCAGCCTCCACTCACCAAGCAGGGAGATGGTGGGCAACAGCATGGGCATCACCCTCCCCCACCCCCAGGCTGGTACCGCCTGGCTCTGCAGCCATCAGACTTTTTTTAATTCTCCGAATTGAAGCAGCAGAATCAATAAAGCTAGTGATTTTGGGTTTTTCCACACATGCCTGCTTTATTTTATCCTCCGTGGGGGAGGTCATAAGGGGGAGATGGCCGAATCTGCAGTTGGGTGACTGGGCCGTGCCCAGGACTGACCAGTGCCTGGCCTCCCCTGGGAGGGCTGCTGCCCTGGCCTTTGGCAGGGTGGGGGGAGCTGCTTCATCCTGGTTAAGCAGAGGCCTCCAGCCCTGGCTGTGGGACACCTCCCAGCTCCTGCCCTGAGGCCACATAGGCTGCCCCAGGGGAGGGCAGGATGGGGCACTTGACCAGGGGGTAAGAGCAGCGCACCAAGCTTGCATGCTGCTGGGACTGGGGGCAGACCGTGTGGCTGCAGGGGGTGGATTTACAGGTCAAGGGGTGGCTGGAGCAGGGGTTGCCCTGTGCCCAGGGGCGTGGGGTGCGCAGCTGCCCCAAGAGATGCTAGCTGAGGAAGCCGGGGTGTGCGGGAGGCAGGGCGCCAGGCCTGTGGCTTGTCTTCTGTTCCCCCCTCGCTTCCTGACCAGGATCCCTCTCTGTCCAGCCGGCTGCTGCCCCCGCCGTGGAGGTGGGTGTCTGCAGCGCAGGGTGTGGAGCTGCTGAAGAACCAGAGAGGCTTTGCCACCCGACCGGCTCTGGAGGGGCTGCTGCTGCTGCCCCACGGGCCCCTGGAGGCAATGCAGCGTCCAGGCGAGAGGCTGTCAATCCTGTGGGGACAGGGCATAGGGGGGCATTGCACTCAAGTGCAGGGAGCAGGGGCAGCCTGTGGGGGGCGCTCTGTCTTGGCCCTAGACCACCCCAACCTGGTGGCTGCAGAGCCAGGGCTGGAGGGTCCAACAGTGTGGCTGGAGGCCTGGTACCTGCTGTCAGCTGCTGTCAGCCCCGCCTGGGGCCAGGTGCTGGTGGGAGCGTTACCTGCTTCCAGGTTCGGAGGTTGGCGTGGGCTATGCTGTGGCGTGGGGGCAGGGCCCTGGGCCCCGGCCCCAGCCCTGGCCCTAATGTTCACGACTGTGGCATAGCCCCTTCACATCCAATGTATGTGGTCCTGGGGCAGGGGCTGGAGCTGGCTGCCCTCTCCCAGTGGTGCGCCCCAGCAGAGCCAGCACCTCATGCCAGCTCACCCCCAAGCCATAGCTCCCCCATGGCTCTCCCCGAGCATGTGGCTGACCCCAGCCCATGATACTGCCTGGGGGTGTCTGTCACCCATGCTCTGCCCTGCCCACAGGCCAGACTCAGGCCTGGAGCTCCCAGAGTTGCGGCCCAGGAGCCCAGCCGGTGGTGGAAGCTCAGCCCCTGGTTTGCAGAGCTCTGGCACCTGGGGGATCTGGGACCAGCTGGGAAAAGAGCTTCCAACCCCGGAGATCCCAGGGAGATGTCCCCCTCCCCCCCGCCTCCAGCCGCTCGAGACACTTGTGGCCCATGTGGGAGCACTCAGCATGTCTCCTTGTGAGCCTGGGTCAGGTGAGCTCTTGCATCCACTGGCCACAGACCAGGGGCCTCATGCAGCGCTGGAGGTGGGCATCAACATCAACTGCGCTATAGCCAGAATCTTTTCCCCAGCGCTGAAACGCAGCCATGAGCAGCAATGCCTGGTGCTGCCCGGGTGCAGAGCAAACCAGCCCAGACCCGACCAGTCCTGCGGAGGGGCCTGTGATCTCACTGCCTGAGGGCCCAGGTGCAAAGCGCCTGCATCTCCACAGCCTCAATTGCTCTGGAGCTGAAGGGTTTGTGTGCCCGGCAGGGACGATGCTGTGCCCCCCGGTGCCCTGCCTCCCTCACCTGATCTCATTGTATGATGCCTCGTCTTCGTCCTCCGGCCGCTCGCGGACACTCTGGTGATGCAGCCACAGCCCCAGGGCAAGCAGCGCCAGCAGCACCAGCCCCATGGCCAGCGTGAGTCCGACACCCACCGCAGTGCCCAGCGTGTCACGTGGACCTGGGGCAGATGAGGACTGGGGGTCACCAGTGCCGCCCGTGCACAGATAGATGGACACACAGACATGCGGTTGAACAGGGAGCGTGTCAGGGAGCTGGGAGGGGGGTGAAGGGGCTGCAGCAGGCAGTGGCAGCCTGGCACCCTGCTCCTGCCATGCGCTGGAGATGGGTGACATGGGCGTCTCTACTGATTGGAGCTCCCTGCCCAGCCACGATGCTAGCGCACGAGGGGACAGGGCAGGGGCACTGACTCCGGGGCAGCACCTGCCCCGTTCCCTGGCATTGCTGTGCTCCCATTGAGCAATGGCCCCGCAAAGCCCGGCCCCAGCCCAGCCCAGCCCAGGCTGAGGGCATTTGGGCTCGGCCCTTGCAAGGCAAGAGGTGCAGGTGCCCACGCACTGCCTGTGACTGCGGGTATCAGGGAGCAGCCTCACCATGGGGAGCTGATTAGTGCCCACAGCCAATCAGACTGCTAGCTGGTTCAGGGAGGAGCCAAGCACATCCAATCAGGGCCCACCATGTGCTGCCAGGACTCACCTGCATGGACCTGGAGCTCAAGGGCACAGGAGCGGGTCCCCAGTGTGTTGGCCGCCGTGCAGCGGTACAGGCCCGAGGCCGCAGCGGTCAGGTTGTGCAGGCTTAGCAGGGCCCGGCCATCCCCTACCCGCAAGCATCAGCAGAGAGAGCGGGTCATCTGGGGCAGCTTCAGCTCCTGGGGCGGCCATGCCAGCACCCACCACAGCCCTGGCTCCGCTGCTGTGGTCAGAGGCCGCCATCCACACAGCCCCAGCCTGCTTCCTTTGAACAGGCTTTGTTCTGGTGCGTGACTCATGGCATGTGGCATCTGACACAGGCCACCACTTCCCCCACCCCAGCCCAGGTACCTGCATAGCTTGTCACCAGGGGCTGCGTGTCCGGGGGGTCCTTCTCCCAGGTGAAGATGGGGGTCGGCACTGCTTCCTCCACAGCACAGGACAGGAGGATGCTGCCCCCTTCCTCCCCGCTGCCCTCGCTGGAGCATACAGGCCAGGAGGGGGGCACTGCAGGGACACACAAACACCTTGCCAGGGGCATAGCAGGCCCCGTCTGGCTCCCCCAGCTGGCAGCAAGACCCACCCTGGTTCATTGCCAGTAGGCACAGAGAGCTGCAGAGTGGGAACGGGCAGGGTCTGCGGGCCCTCAAGGGAAAGGTCATCCCTATTAGAGATTGGGCAGTTGGGCACGCGTGTGCCCTCCCATACACACACCTGCACATGCTAAGATGCAGTTACACGCACCGCACTGCAGTGCTGCTCTGTCCTGTAGAGCCCAGAACACATGGGCAGACACGCTAACATGCACGTGTGCTCTCTAAGCCATGCAGATGCACATGCGGGGCTCCTGGCACTCCTGGCGGAGCGAGAGGTGAGTGGACAGGGGACATACCCAGTATGGTGAGCTGGACAACACCGATGTTGGGCATCGCGTGATCTGGTGGGTTCATCACGCTGCATTGGTAGGTGCCGCTGTCAGAGCTGCGCGTAGCGTTGAGGGCCAGCGTGGCGCTCTGCGTAGGTGGGAAGGCAAAGGCGACGCGGCCTGTGTATGGGGACAGGCCCTCCACCACCTCCTCCTGCTCATAGGCCAGGACCTGCCCAGGGGACACAGGGCAGAACAAAGTGTGAACAAGCTATGCAGCTGGTCTACCTGCCCTGTGCACTGTGGCGATGCGCGTGCAGCAGTGCACATGGGTCAGGGCACATGCCGGGGTCCCACAGGCACCCACAGGTGGGTCTTGGCCCCTTCCCACTCCAGTGCCCGGATCCCGGACGAAGTCTCAGCACTGCTGCAATCGCAGCAGCTACTGCAGCTCATGGGGTGTTGGGGAGGGGCCCGCGCTGCACCCACCTGTCGGGGGGAGCTGGGGTCAGCCACAGGTGTCACGGTCCAGATGATGTTGAGACGGTTCAGCGGCGCTGTGGTATGGAAGGAGCAGGGCAGCAGGACGCTTGCCCCGCTCGCCACCTGGACACTGGTGGCCCCCACTGACACCTTCACGGCACTCGTGGCTGGAGGAGATGTGGCAGGGATAGCAGTGGGGCAACGGGCAGGGGGGTGATAGGATCCTGGCCGGGCCCTTTGAGTGTGGGGAACGAGTTGTGCTGACCCCAGGAAGGCAGGACCCAGGCCAGGGTGTGAGCAGATGAGCTGTAGTACGCCTGCAACCTTTGGTGGACAGGAGGGTCCTGCCCAGCCTGCGGGGTTCTGCTAAGGGCCTGGATCTCTCCAGGGCATAGCAGAAGGAATCCCACCTCCTCTTCCATTCGCGCCTGGGCTGCAGCCCTCTCCTCAGCATCCAGGCTGGGGTGGGGCCCGGATATGTCTAACCCATGCTGGGGTGGGGCCTGGACACATGTACCCCAGGCCGGCATGGAGCCCAGACTTGTCCACCCTCAGCCACAGTGGGGCCTGGATATGTCCACCCCAGGCCAGAGCAGGTCTACAGGCAGGGCTTGATTCTGCCATCGGGTGCTGGTGGAGTCACCCCAGCTAAAGCTTCACCCCAGGCTTGACTCCAAAGCCGGGGACCTGCAAGCAGTTTGGGGAGATGCAAGGTAGGGGAGGTGATGGCTGGGCTGGGGCTGTGCAGCCCGTGGGGAGGTGGGTTGGGTTCAGGACTATGTTGGGGGTATGGGGGGGTCAGGGCTGGGCTCAGGCTCTGGGGGCAGCTGACCTGACAGCCTGAGACAGGGCTGTGGGATTCCCCAGCTGGAGGAAGCCCAGGCCTGCAAGGTGTACAAGGCTCAGTGCCACGTTGGCTGTGCCCTGGAGAGAGAGGCTCTGCTCTCAGGCCCCTGGGGCAGAGCGAACTGGGGGAGCTGGGCTAAGCTCTGCCTCCAAGCCGTGGACATGAATTGGTCCCCCTTGATGACCAGCTCAGGCACTGCTCCAGCCCTGGCTGGCTCACGGCACAGCGGGCACCCAAGCAGACTGGACCACAGCCATGTGCCCATGCAGGCCCCTCACTCTGTACAGGAGGGGGCCCCTGGGGGTCTCAGGGGTGAGGGTGAACAATGGGGCAGTGTCCAACGTGGAAGGATGGGGCAGGGGGGCTACACAGGCACCAGGGAACTGTCTGCATGGCTGCTTCCCAGGCTGATTGTTAAGGGACCGGCAGTGACAGCTCCTCAGGGTAATTGGCAGTAATTGCAAGGAGTCCCCGGCTGAGGAGCCGCAACCCTGCCACATCCAAGGGAGAAAGGGGCTGGGGTCCATTTGCGGAGGCTGAAGCAGCTCCTCCCCGGCAGAGGGACCCTTCTACCAGAGCAGGGGTGAGGGACAGACCCGCACCTCCAAAGCACCCCTGCCTTAGGCGGCAGACAGGTGAGCCAGGAGCTAGGAGCTGGCCTGGGCACAAAGCAGCCCTTGAAGGGCCTCTGCAGCAGGGTGAGCTGAGCTGAGCTGAGCTGAGCTGCTGAGGGTCCCCCAGGGATGGACAGAGGTGAGAACCGAACCCAGGAGTCCCAACTCCCACAGCCTCCGGGATCCTGGCCCCCAGAGCTGGGAGCAGAACCCTGCAGCTCCCAGGAGGAGGCACAAGGGTCCCCGTCCTGGCAGGGTCCCCTCCAGGCATCACTCCTACCCGGGGCTCTGCACAGGCATGACTGCCCCCAGCCAGTGTCCCCTGCCTCTGAGACCCCCTCCTCTGGGTGGTCTGGCACCGCCTGCCTTGACCCAAGCCACTGTCGGACCCAGGAAGAGCCCCCGGGACGAGGGGCTCAGGCCCGATTCAGGGAAGACTCTCCCCCTCCTGCTCTGGCTTCTCTTCCACAGCCCCCCCTGCCCCAGCCCCCCATACCTGCCACGCAGCAATGCAGCAGCCACAGGCTGGCGAGTGCCAGGTGGCAGCTAGGGGGTCTCTCTCCGGGGGCCATTGCTGGGGCTCAGCTCAGTTCAGTGAGCGCATCCTGCTCTGCTCTGCATGGATGGCTCCCAGCACTGCCCCTCTCCTGCTTTGTGCCCAGGATGGCACAAGTGGCCCTGCCTCTGACGCTCCCAGCCCCTCCCCAAGGGCAAGCTCGGCCCCTCTCCTGCACTGGGAGAGAGCAGAGGAGAGGGGTCTGTGCTGGGGTCAGAGCAGGGGCCCTTTGCCCCCAGCCCGTCTCCAAGCTGGGGCCAGCTGCCTCTGGGCAAGAGGCCAGAGATGGGCAGCGACTGGCGCCTGCATTTCCTTTGGCCCTGACCAGGCACCACCCCAGCTGTGGGGGCAGGAGGGTTTCAATGTTTTCCCCAGGGCTCCCAGGGCCTTGTCTGCTTTGGGCCCAAGTGGGTTTTCCAGACATGATCCCCACCCTTAGGCTGCCTGAATTGGGCCAGCTGCAGGACTGGGCTGGGGAGGAGGAGGGGGAAGGAAGGGCTTGAACACACCTGTGGGGCACGCACGTAGGGTGGGGATGGAAGAGGGGGCTGCACTGGAGTTCACGCCATACTCGCCTCTGCCACAAGAGGCAAATGTCTGCTGGCTGGTAGGAGCAGTAGGTTGTTACCCTGCATGCAGCCCCAGGGGTTCAGCCCCCAGCCTGGAAGAGACTCCTGTGCTCGCTGCTGGCTGATTCTGGGCCAGGATCTGGCCCCACTGCACAGGCAGACAGGATCCCCCAGCCCAGTACAGGGTCAATGATTGCAGCTGAGAGATGCTTGAAGCTGGGGTGGTCCCACAGCTGGTTCATATGGGAGTGGGGGCAGACGGTTACTGGTGTCATTACAGGGGTGCAGAACCTGCTGCAAATGCCACTAGCTGGTGATGCAGTGGCCAGATCCCACCATAGCCCCTTCTCTTTGCCATCCGGGACCAGCTAGGCCAGTATGGTACAGCTGCTGCCATGCCAGGAGCGTGAGGACTGACCCTGGGGAAAGCAGACTTGCTGTGTGTGCAGGGAAGGCCTTTGTGCCTGGGCCCAAGTGTCCGGATTAGCCGTAACCCTGGAGCCTGCCCGCATGCCATTCTGATGCATGTGATAATGATGACAGGGGGCATCTAAATGCCCTAGGCAGCCGGAAAAACCCTGGCCCCAGAGGGCAGGCAGAGATGTCCACCCCCTGCCCCACTTGCCTCCTCCCTGGGGTTACCTGGCAGTTCAGGCACTGGGCTAGTTCTCAGGTGAGCTGAGTCCTGGCCCCTGCTGTGCCCGGTGCCTGTGGCCTTGCCCAAGGGGATCAGGCTCTTGTGGCCTGAGGTTCCTGCCTGTGCCATGGGGCCTGTGAGGCTCTTGGGGGCAGCGACCAGTCTGGGTCAGCACTGCTGGGGACGGGGAAATACCCACTGAAGGGATCAACCACCTGCTACAGCCGCACTTCCATCTGCCTAGATTTTGACTCCTTCAGGCGGCTCACCGCAGGGCGTCCTGCTCCAGCGCAGCCCAGGATGGAGACCCTGGCGCAGGCCTGCCTGGACCACACCAGGCTATGGGCCCTCCGCGGCCTCCAGCTGCAGTTTCAGCTGTGCTAGTCCCCCAACTTTTAATTTATGCTCTTCCCATCTGCAGCCTCCTGGTCAAGCTCCTTCTGGTTCTGCCCAGGCTGGCCCCCCGCCTGCCCAGGAAGGAGGCTCTGGCTGGGAGATGGGGTGAGTGGGGGGCTGTCTTCCTCCCTCCTCTGCTCATGTCATCTCACAGGCAGCATCTGTCACCTCTCTCCACTCACCAGGGGCCAGTTGGTACTGGCCCAAGCACTCTGCTCTGGTTCCCATCCAGCTCCCTTCTTATGAACCTGCCACCTCCCTCAGTCCCTGCCCTGATTTTTTATGATCTGTCTCCAGAAATCATCTGCTCCCATTTAAAGCGGACTCATCCCCTTTTTTCCAGGAAGGCTTAGGCTTAGGGTCAGCAACATTTTGGGGCAGAGCACCAAAAACACCTGCAACCTCGACTTGGAAGATGTTGGAGGCAGACAGCAGGGAGCTGAGGGGGGCCTAAACTTGTGGCAGTGCAGCCCCAGCCCATTCCCCACCATCTGCCTCAAGGTGTGCATGCACCCGCCAGCAGCAAGCCAGGCTGCGGCTCCACGGACCCTGGTGCAGCCGCTTGCAGCCTCCTGGCTACCTGCCACAGCTGGCCCCTGCCGCCTGCCACAGAGCCCAGGCTGCTGGCAGCAAGTGTTGGGGAGGCTGCAAGCAGCTGCACTGGGGTCCAGGGAGTCCTGGCCTGACTTGTTGCTGCTTGCGGGTGCGCGTGCACCTCAGGGCGGGCAGCGGGAGAGCCCCGAGGGGCTGGATCCTTGTGGCAGCGCAGCCCCCACCCTTCCTGCCTCTGCCCCGAGGTGCACGTGCCAAGCAAAACACCTTCGTGGGCTGGGCTCTGGTATCTGCGTTGGGGGGTTGCTCACCCCTGGCTTCGAGTCACTTGTTGGGCACTTGCCCACGATCCCCAGGCACAGCCCAAGGCCTGGCTCTAGCCGGGCAGGAGGCTCTGGCTGGGGTCGCCTCATCCTTTCCCGTCTCCGGGCACAGCCGTGCTGGGCAGCGTGGCTGCGGGGAGGCCGGGTGGACCCTCTGCCCCCGCTCCCGCTCCCAGGCCTGCTTCCCTGCAGCTGTGCCCTGCTGTGGGGCTCCAGTGCCCCGGGCCCGCAGGAACCTGACAACCCCCCTCCACCAGGTCCGTGCAGGTGCGGGGGCTGCCGACAGATGCGCTGGAGCTGCAGAACCTCCAGGCCCCGCCCCTTCCCAGCCAGGGGGGCGGGGCTTGCAGGCCGGGGACAGGGGCTGGGGTCTGGGGCCTTGGCCAGGGGCAGCGCAGAGGAGCTGCAGGCGGGGCCGGGTAGGGTGCAGGCGGGGCCAGTCAGGTGCAGGCGGAGCGGGTGGGCCCCGCTGCTCCGTGAGGTCGGGAATTTGTAGACGGGGCCTTGCCGCGCCGTGCCGTGCCGGGGCTGGGCCAGGTCATGTTACACGTGCGGGGACTGCGTGAGGTCGGGAATTTGTAGACGGGGCCTTGCCGCGCCGTGCCGTGCCGGGGCTGGGCCAGGTCATGTTACACGTGCGGGGACTGCTGGGCCGGGCGGGGCTGCGGGACACTCGCACCTGCACCGGCACCAGCACCGGCAGGAGCAGCAGCATGCAGCGAGGTGAGGCGCCCGGCACAGGCCTGTCCCTGCGGGCGGGGGAAAGCAGCTCAGGTGCCGCAGCCCGGGCTCCTGAGCACGGGGGGGGATCAGGAAGGGATCAGCACGGTGGGGGATCCGGAAGGGATTTTGCCCCTGATCGTATTGCTGTGGATCAGGAAGGGGGGTTGCCTTTCCCTGTGGCAGGGGCATGGCCCCCACCAGGGACCTCTCGAGCATCTCTTGGCAATGTTTCGAAGAAGCAGGATGTGGATGGAGCGACCCCTGGCTTTCGCAGCTTGGGTGTCCGGTCTGTGCCGCGCGGAGGGTCGATGGAAGTTTTATGTCGAGGTCCGATTGTGGTTTGTCTGGGATGCTTTGCACGGGGCTGATCCCGCCTCAAGCAGGGTTGGAGTAGATGTGACCTCTGGAGCTCCCTTCCAGGGTTTTCTGCCGTGTCATTCCCTGGTCAGACCAGTTTTTTAAATGGTTTTGCTTGGAGCTGCCACTGGGATTGTAGCTGAATCCACCTGGCGCAGGCAGCCTTCCCAACAGGTGCTGCAGGCTGGGTTTTGGCCTGGTGCCTGCCCAGCCCAGCCCAGCCCAGCCCACAGCTTGTTCACCTGAAAGCAGGTGGCAGCACTTCAGTGCCCCATCCCAGCCGTGCCCCATCTCAGCTGCTCCAAAACCAGGGAGAAAGCCGCCTGGTTTCCTGGCCTGGGAATGTGACGTTGCTGGAGGGAGACTGAGAATGAGGCGGCTCTGAGCCGGCCCCGTGGGCTTTCAGCTCTCCCTGCCTCCAAATAGATCTGGGATGACTTAAATGAGATGCCAGGGTACAGAGAAGGGGGATATGGAGAAGCTGTGCCTTCTGCTCCAGTCGGTAAGGTGGTTGCTGGGTTTACATCATGTACATAAGAGCAGGATTTGGCCTGTGGTGCCTTGGGCAGGCAAAAGTGTACAAGACCACAGGGCTACTGGAATCCTGTTCCCAGGGTATCAGTGATCAGGGGTGATTGTAGGAACCCAAAGCTGGCTTTCACCTTCTCTGTCGTAAGCAAGGCCCAGGTCACATTTGCTACGTCCCTCCAGAGTGCTTATTGGGTCGTAGTCTGGGGGAGGCTGGGAGTCGCTCTTCCCAGGCAATGGGAAAGGCTGCTGGGGCAGATCTTTGCTGGCTGCAGTCGGGACTCTCCCCCGGTGAGACCGCCCTTTGCAAAGCTGGAAGCAGCTGCCTGACCCTTGCCCATCAGGGGAGGGGCACTGATCTCTCACAGAGACGGGAGGTGGTGACTGTTGGCTTGTTTCTGTGGTTGATGTAGGTAACAACATCTCCTACGAAGACATGAAGGCGCTGGTCGCTGGCGGGGGAGCTCGCATCTTTGACGTGCGCTCTCCGGAGGAGGTGGCCAACGGGCACATCGCCAACTCCATTAATATCCCAGGTGAGCATGTCGGAGGAGCTCTCCCTGGCACAGGATGGTGCTGGAGCCCAACGCTCTGGACGGGACGGGGCTTTGTCCCGGTTGTCTGTACATGGAGGGGGTGGGGTCCTCACTAAAGATCCTCTATTTGTGTGCTGAGGCCTGTTCTCCCTGCTGCCCTGGCCACACTCCACTTGGGGCAGCTGCTCTGTCTCTGTGGAGGGGTCTGACTCCCAAACCCTAGCTGAACGTGCCTGTTTCTGTGCCCTACTTGGCTGCTGTATTTCCACAGTGGGTGAAGTGCCTGCTTGTCCTGGGAAGCACTTGGGGATTGGGGATCCCGTCCACGGACTGTAGAGCATTATCCCCTGTGCAGTCGCAGGGAGGCTCTGCCCTCGGTCCCTTCAGTGTCGAGATGAGGTCCTCTGCCGTCTGTGCTAACCGAGCAGCTCCGTCAGAGGGAAGCAGCAGCAGGCTGTTACCTGGTAGGGACTGAGCCAGTTAGCTGAAGAGGATCTCTTCCTAGGGCTACCCCAGCGCTGTCCTCCTTCCCCTTCTTTCTTTTCCAGTGACAGAAATCGAAGAAGCCCTGAAGATGGATCCTGAGACATTTAAGATGAAGTATGCTGTGGACAAGCCCCAGGTGGATGAGAAGAACCTCATCTTCCACTGCCAGATGGGCCGGAGGGGGGCTCTCGCCGCAGAGATCGCCAAGACCCTCGGCTATACCAAGTAAGCCCACCTTCCCCAGAGCAGCCCCTGGCCATAGAGTGTCTGACCTTTTGGGCCGCTTGTTTGCATGCCAGGAGCTCCATGAGCCTGGAGGCATGAACAGGGTGCAGTGCAGCCCTGGGGGAGAGCCTGTGGGTGTGTTCTCATCTGGCAGGTCACAGAAGAGCCTTGGGGTTGATGGGGAAGGAAAGGGTCCTCCTCCCAGGAGGTCCTGGTTCTGCTTTCATTGGCGTGGAGCTGGTGGAACTTGCACCAGGGCCGTGGTCTGGTCTTAGGGAGAAGGGACAGATTCCCCAGGGCATGGTCTCAGGCCCCCAGAGCCCAGCCTGCCCTACAGTGGATCTGCTCCCTCCCCATGTGCTGCCCTAGGCTAGCCTGTTACAGCTGTCTGACCTGGCTGAGGGGGAGCTGGGCTGGGAGAGCTGTAGCCTGTAAGGCAGAGGCCTGATACCAGGGGGACTGAAGGTCCTGAGAAGGCTGCAGGATGTGACTGAGCTTGTCCCAAGGGCCAGTTCCACTGAAGGGAACTGGGTGACCACAGGGATCCGTAAAGTGTGTCCTGTACCATGCTGTCGTGCACCTCAGGTCTGTTGTACAGCTCCCTCCACTGCTCTGGGCTCTGCTGCTTTCATGAGGGCTCCAGGCTGGGACTGACTCTTTTGGCCCTGGCAGCTGTGGGTCAGCCCCGGTGCCCATTATAATCCTGTGCGTCTCCTCCTTTTGCTGTAGTGCACGTAACTACGCTGGCGGCTACAAGGAGTGGTCTGAGAAGGAAGGGAAGTGAGTCTGGCGGGGCTCGCCAAGGCCAGTGCCTTTGTCTTTTCACCTAAGTGCCAACACTGCACTACAGACTCTTCCTTCGCTTCACTGCCACGTCGTCCTCCCCGGCTGCTTTTGCCCAGTGTTGCGGTGCGTCTGTCTGGACATCCTGCCTAAAACACCGGCCTTTGAAGCTGCCGCTTGGCTCTGAGCCTGGCCTTCCGGCCTGGAACCTGCACTTGTTCATTCTCTACCTGCAGCACAGCTGTCCTCTTAACCCCGGTATTTGTACCTTGGTGGGGGTCCTTCCTCTTCTCCCAGGTCTGTCCTGTTGGTGGGGAAAGAGGCTTTTTTAGATGGCAATAAAATTGGATGCTTTGCAACACCCAACTGTGTTTTGTAGCCCCCTGTGCAGGCATGACCCGCTGGGGGAGAGGTGCTGGTGTGCAGTATGGAGTCCATCCAGGGGAGCTGATCTGAAAAAAAGTCCATAGTAGTAGATCCTAGCAAACATGTGCGTCTCATCCACAGAGAGCCACCAAGCCAGGGCACCTCATCGGTGATCCCAGCAGGTTGTCAACCCTATGCTTGCTGGGCGTGGGGTAAGGACGCTTGGGGTCTTTTCCTGGCCTGCTGGGGGGGGTGGAGTCGAGTCACTTCTTCGCCTCAATTTCCACACGTGTATAACGCTGACCTTTCTTTTCCTGGATGTCTCTGGGAGAAGAGCCAGGCATTGCTATTCTCTGGCTGCTGCATGGGTTTGAAGGCTGGATTGGGTGTGCACTCGATGCAGTGATAACAGATGGGAGGGGCAGGACTGGAATTAAGAGATCTAGCACTGAAATGAGGCAATGCTGCAGCTGCACAAGGGTTGCAGATCAGCGGAGAGAAAACCGGCTCCCCAGAAGGGCCACCCTCTGCCTTTTGTAGCAGAGAAGAGCATACGTAGGCTTTGCTAGCATCTCGTGGGTGGCAGGCAGGTGCCATGAGGCTTGGTAAGTAATTACTGTGGAGCTGCAGGCAGACACAATGTGCAGATGCAAGAGCTGGGCTCCAGCAGCAGCATAACAGGATTCCAGCCTCTCCGAGGAGTCCCGTGGATACCATATATAGCACCTAGGGACTGGCTTAGTCCAGGGACTGTGGTAATTGGACCACGGGACAGTGCTAACAAGACAAGCAGGACTGGTTTGGCCATGTTGTCAGAGGAGGTGCCTAGCAATAGCAGCTCTGTAGG